GGCACCATTTATTGAAGAGGCTGTGTTTTCTTCATTGTATGTTTCTGGCTCCTTTGTCGAAAATTATCTGTTCATGTTTATGTGGGTTTATTTCTGGGTTTTTAGTTTTATTCCATTTGTCCACGTGTCTTTTGTTCTGCCAGTACCATACTGTTTTTTTTTTTTTAAGATTTTTATTGGGGAATTGGGGGGATGGGAACAGTGCTGGGGAATGGGGGGAAGGGGAACAGACACGTTGCTGTCGTTTTGTTCTTCAGTCTAGTTGTGGAGGATGTTGCTTCACTGGTCCAAGTTGACACCATCATTGTGCTCTTCCCGGGCGAGGCAGATCAGTTGCCGGCTTCTGGACGGCCGCTCACTGCGGCTGCTGGCTGCTCATGCTGGCTGCTGGCTACACACGGTAGCCCATGGCAACCCACTGCCACAGGTGCTGCAGCCTACGCCATCGCCGGCGACTCACAGCAGCCCAGCTCCAGGTTGAGCTGTTGTTCAGCCTCTTAGCTGTAGAGGGCAGTGTCACTGGCCCTCATATGTGGGATCCGAACCGGGGCCCTCTGGCATCCCAAGCGAGTTCTCAACCATCGCGCCACTTGGCCGGGCCAGTACCATACTGTTTTGATTATTGTTGCTATGTAGTATCAGCTGAAGTCAGGGAGTGTGATACCTGCAACGTTATTCTTTTTTCTTAGGATTGCTTTGGGTATTTGGGGTCTTTTGTAGTTCTATACAACAAATCTGATGATTTTTTTTTGTTCTATTTCTTTAAAAAATACCATAGGTATTTTGATAGGGATTGCATTAAATCTGTATATTGTTTTGGGTTATATGGCCATTTTGACTGTGTTGATTCTTCCAATCCATGAACACGGTATGTCTTTCCATTTCTTTTTGTCTTCTTCAATTTCTTTTTAAAATATCTTATAGTTTTCATTGTATAGGTTTTTCACATCCTTGATTAAGTTTATTCCTTGGTATTTATTGTTTTTGTTGCAATTGCAAAAGGAATTTTTTTTAAAATTTCTTTTTCTGAGATTTCATTGTTAGCATATAGGAATGCAGTGGATTTTTGTACATTGACTTTTTGTCGCTGGCGACTTTACTGTGTTCATTTATGGTTTCTAATAGCTTTTTGGTGGAGTACTTAGGGTTTTCTTTATATAGCATCATGTCATCTGCAAAAAGTGACAATTTAACTTTCGTCTGGTCTTTACAATCAGAAATGATGGGGACTTCTTTTCCGGGCACTGGAACACTGCATTAGAGAGGGGCTGGGACCCCTTGCTCCTCTGGGGGTTACCTCTGTAGCTGAGATTTCTCTCCCGATTTTTAATGTTCACACGCGGGTGTGGGACCTGCCCATTCCATTCTGTACCCCCCTTACCAGTCTCAGGGTGGCTTCTCCTGTATGTCTTAATTGTAGGGCTTCGGATCAGGAAGATTTTGTTCTCAATGATGGTTGTTTTGTAGTATAGTTGTAATTTTGATGTGGTTGTGAGAGAAGGCAAGCACAGCATTTACCTACTACACCATCTTGACTGGAACCTTGATGGATGCTTTTTAAATTCATGTTTTATTAAACTTCTCCACAGCATTGACAGTAAAGAATCCTATTCTTTCCTTAGCCTTTTAAAAAAGTTTTATTTTGAAATAATTTCAACCTTCCAAAAAGGCAAGAACGTTACTAGGAACTTACTTCCCCTTTAACCATTTGAGCATAAGTTGCCTATATGATTCTGTATAACCTCCAAATAAATTTTATACCAAAAACTTGACCAAGATTAGGTACTGTAACTAAGTCATCAACCATGGCACATTTCTGTCTTGAGCAACTTGGCATCCCAGTGACTACATTAGGTTAAATTGATGACAAATGTCTCTTTATAAGCAAAATTATTTGAACATGCCACTTAATTTAAGAATATCAGATAAATAGATAGATATAATCATTGTCTTCTAGGATTTTATTGTTTAACAGATAAGGTAAGTAAACATAAACATATACAAATGTCAATAGTAACATAAGCCCAGGAAAAGTGGTAGAGACAGCCTGTTTAATGTTATGTGTAGAGTGGGGGACTTTGGAGAAGAGGATATTGGGGAGGGGACATTCATACTAGGCCTAAGCAAGAAGGGAGAATGGACACAGAGTATTCTAAACCAAAGGAAGAACATGAGCCAAGTCAGTGAAGATTCATAGCATTTTGTCTGGCCCTATGAGCATATATGTATGTGTTTGGAGGAATGGGGTTTTTAGGTAGGAGAGATTTGGGTAGGAATTTCTGGAAAGATTGACTAGTAACAGGCTCAAAGAGTCATCTAATATGATGGTTCTTATCCCCAGAGTGACTTTGCATTTTCAGATGCTTGTAGAATTGACATGGATTACTGTTATGTCATTTGAACAAATATACTCCCAAGGAGCCTCTAAATATGGAGTAATGAGAGCTGTGAGATTTGCTGTTTGACACTCTGTAGGTCATTTCTAACTTACTTATTATGAGGGATTAAAGAGATAGAATATCATTTATTCTATTGGTTACTCACTGTTACTTACTTTGGCATTTTATTTTTTAATAAGGAAACAAATATAAGCAATTCTTTTTAGATATTTGATTCTTTTTTTGTGTGTAAATTGGTTTATTCATCTCATGTTGTATGCCAGTTTTATAATGAGAATCTGAGAAAAAACATTAAAAAATAGATGAAAAATTTATTAGTATTCTGACAGTTAAAATACATTTACAGTTTTATGTTTCTATTACTTTGCATTATACATTTTCGCCAGTTCTTTGAGAGTTTATTTTTTTGTTTTGAAGGTAATAAACACTTATGAATTCCCTATTGATGACAGATTTTTCAGGAATAGGAAAACCTATATTAGTCATGCTTGACTTCTTAGTAACAGGATTTTTATTTTTATTTTTTAACATTTGCGTTGAGTAGTAATTGCATGGGGGAATATGCATTCTAAGGTTGAAATTTTTGGTATTTAAAATTTCTTTTTGAAGCTTAATTTGTTAAATATTATTTTAGCATGTACTCTCATAAAAGAGTATTTATTACCTGAAATTTATTGATATTTTGTATGTTAATGTTACAGCATGTGATAGATAATTGGCACTCTAAAAGCTGCTAATAGTTTCCATATACCAGAAAACTTGACCTTAGTGGTTTTACATTTCGGTTCTATTTGTATCCATTGGGAATGAATGAAGGAGCTGGTTTTTGCAAACATGTTATGGTTGAATAGACTTAAAATAAGCTTTCTCCCAGCAGGTTTTAGTGTAGGTGTTAACAATGTCAGTTGCTGAAAGAAGTTGACTCTGTTTTGTCCAATAATGTTCTGGTTTAAACAATACAAATAGATAGTTATTTCATGAAATAGCTAATATTTCAGTTAGCTTTTAAATAGGTTTTATAGTGGAAAATGCATTTGAGTAAAGTGAGGTTTTTAATCTTTGTCTTTTTTAATGCTGTTTATGTTTAGTTTTATATTTTCAATTAAATATCTCAATAATCTATGTACACATTTATTGTGTGATAAACTTCTGAGAGAAACTTCTGAGATTATGGAGTATCCCACAGTAGCATGAAATTTAAAGAAAACTTTTGGACATTCTAGGCATGCTGAGAACAAGAATGTTCACTAATCCCTTTTGTTGTTTTGAGGTTTTCTTTTTAAGATTTTTTAATTGGGAATTGGGGAGGGGAACAGCGCTGGGGAATTGGGGGAAGGGGAACAGACAAGTTGCTGTCAGTTTGTTCTTCAGTCTAGTTGTGGAGGATGCTGCTTCACTGGCCCATGTTGGTATTATCATTGCGTTCTTTCCGGGTGAGGCAGATCGGTTGCCGGCCTCTGGACGGCTGCTCACAGCGGCTCTTGGCAATTCACATCGGCTGCCGGCCACTCACGCTGGCTGCCAGTCACTCATGTAGCTCACGGCAGCCCACTGCAGCAGGGGCTGCAGCCTACGCCGTTGCCGGCGACTCACGACAGCCCAGCTCCAGGTCGAGCTGTTGTTCACCATCTTAGCTGTAGAGGGCAGTGTCACTGGCCTCCATGTGGGATCCAAACCAGGGCCCTGCTGCTCAGAGCTGGCGTCCCAAGCCAGCTCTTAACCAACACGCCACTTGGCCCTTTGAGTTTTTTTAAATAAAATTATTTCTTATTCTCCTTATTTCCTTGTGTTTTCATGCTTGTATTCATTCTCTTTCCTTTCACACTTTTCTTTTTTGCTGTTTTCTTTGATGTGTTCTTTTTTCCCCCTCCTTCTTTAACTGTCTGTATTTTCTTCTTCTTCATATTATCTCCCCTATGCTGTTTCAGTATTATACATCAGTAAGTGGAAATAGTTAAGTCCATTATGATGGTTAAGTTGCTCCTATCTTCCTTCCTCCAAGTCTCATTTTTGAATATTTTTATGGCTATTTAAAGTAGGAAGACAAGATGACAGCTGGTTCATAAAGAAGCTTAAAAAAGCCATTCTTATAATACAGTGATAATCAGCATATAGTAACACTTTCATTTGGGAAACTGTTTAATAAAGTCGGCAGAAATCAAAATACTTATAGTATAGATTAATCATTGAATAGGATCTAGTATTATGTTATTAAAAAGGTTTCTGCTAAATATGGTTTTTCTTAGTACATGAACATTTTATTTGGTAATGGTTTTTCTTGGGCTGAATCTACAACTTAGTAGCTATATTACTTTGGCAAACCTGTTTACCTATGTGAATGTTAGTCTCCTCTTTGCAACATATGCTAAGTAATACCTTTCACATGCATGAAGCTCAATAATGTTTTAAGAAAAAACTATTTATTGACAGATTTGTGGCTATTTGAATCCTTGTTTTATTTTGTAGGTTATGTGCAGAGTCTGATTAGACAAGTTGTAAATAATGTAAACATTGTTATAAATAATCTCATACTAAAATATTTTAAGAAAAATTATTTATTGACAGACTTGTGGCTAATTGAATCCTTTTTCTATTTTATAGGTTATGTGCAGAGTCTGATTAGACGTGTTGTAAATAATGTAAACATTGTTATAAATAACCTCATACTAAAATACGTTGAAGATGATATTGTTCTTTCAGTCAACATCACTTCTGCAGAATGCTATACAGTAGATGAATTATGGGATCGTGCATTCATGGATATTTCTGGTGAGTAAATGTCAAGAATAATGTAGATTTTTCCATTTTTGAAAACTTTTTTTTTTTTTAATGGTTTTATTGGGGAATTGGAGAAGGGGAACAGTGTTGGGGAATTTGGGGAAGGGGAACAGCAAAGTTGTTGTCCTTCTATCTTAGTTGTGGAGGGTGCAGCTAGATCAGCTCCAAGTCCAGTCGCCATCCGGCCGCCCGTCGGCAGCTCGCAGTCACTCAGCTCAAGGTGCCGTGTTCAATCTTAGTTGTGGGTGGGTGCAGCCCATCACCCCATGTGGGAGTCATACCGGCAAACCTTGTTGTTAGGAGCACGTACTCTCACCAGCTGAGCCATCCTGCCACCTATTGGCAGTTTATTGGCAGCTCAGCTTGGGCGCAGGTCACTGGCCCATGTGGAAATCAAACCGTGTTGCTCAGAGCTCGTGCTCTTAACCAATTGAGCCACTCGGCCAGCGCACTGAGAATGTTTTCTTGAATTCTAAACCTTTCTTAGACCAACTGGCTCTTTGATAAATGTAATGAAAACTTCATGCCTTCAGTCTCGAAAAATTGTACATATATAGAATTTAGTGTGCAATTACAGGAGGTTAAGACAGATTAAGAAATCCTAGACTTATTTTTTAATATTTCTAATTTTTATTTTTTCTTAACTATAACATGCTTGTTTCAAATGTGATGTATAATATTTTACAATGCTATATAGCAAAAATTAAATAATATTCAGTTAAAATTTATTTATTTTTTTTTAAAGATTTTTTTTTCTTATTGGGGAATTGGGGGGATGGGAACAGTGCTGGGGAATTGGGGGAAGGGGAACAGACAAGTTGCTGTCGTTTTGTTCTTCAGTCTA